GACAATACTAGGTACTAATGCTGAAGTACATAATCATTTAGCCAAATTAAAGGAATCTATATAAGGAAGGTAATCATCATCATCATTATCATAATCTATATTATTATCATCATCATCATTATTTCTGTAAAAAAAAGAGAAAAGAAAAGAAAAAACTCATGAGTAACTTTTTTCATTTTACTTTCAGGCTTCCTCAGAACATGTGTTCATGTTTACAAACAAAAGTGTTGACAGTGAGCTTTAGTAGGCAGCTCAAAGTTGCCAAGCTACATATCACACTAACATTTAAGCATTATTTGTCCATTATTATTGGTTATGGATAGAAGTTATTGTCAAGAGACCTTCAAAGTAATCAAATTACTGCTTACCTTTCTTAGAGTACTTGTAAAACTTGACTCATTGTTGTTAATCATGAATCCAGACTGCATGAAGGTACATGCCTTGAAGAACTCCCATTTATGTGAAGCAGTCCGTCTGGAACTACTCGGGACGTTATAAATTTTCCGAAGTTGTTTTTGGAAATGCCCTCTAAGGTACTGATATCTGCTGACTACCATATCTGGAATGTCAGAATATTATTTAACTTCTATCCATTATTTACTCTGAGCTCTCCTACCCTCTAATTATAATAATCATTAATGATAAATCCCGCACTAATCATATTTGGAATTATTATCAATTTCTTTAATATTAACTTTCACTACGAGCAACAAATTTATGAGTAACTCTCTGGTAAAGAGAGAGAGAGAGAGAGAGAGAGAGAGAGAGAGAGAGAGAGAGAGAGAGAGAGAGAGAGAGAGAGAGAGAGAGAGAGAGAGAGAGAGAGAGGGAGGGGGAGGGAGAGGGAGAGGGAGAGGGAGAGGGAGAGGGAGAGGGAGAGGGAGAGGGAGAGAGGCATGGAAAGAGAGAGGAATTCATCATTACCAAAATCTTTATGATTAGTTCTGTGTAGATTTTCTAAATATTTACCCCTTTCTTTATTAAATCTAAACTGTGTGGGCTTATGTGAGAGGTATTTGTTTATTTCCAGAAATACTGTAACCAAACTAAAAGAAATAAACTAGTAATTTACAAACACTTCTATGATATTCCGCCTTTCTGTGAAACTAAATATTTGTTGAATAAAAAATATATATAAATTAATACTTACCAGTAGTAAGGTTGTTCATCAATGGATACTCCTTCTTAAGTTCTTGACAAATCTCGTCAAATAAGCTTCTTTTCAGATTTTTCTTCATAAAGTTTGTATGGTTCATGTTCCATATTGGTTCCCTTGCTTTTACCTTTTCCAGAAGTAACACCGTACTTTCCCTACACCAATATACCCCTTCCATGCTTCAGGTCCGGTTTGAAAGTGGCGCCGGTTGAGGGCCGTCGACACGAGCTATTCAGTTACAAACTTTCTGCAAAATAGTAACAGTAGTGATACTTAATTAGTGATGTATATACTAAGGGAGGAAGAGGAGAGCCGAGGTAGACGGACCTACACCGTTCTTTCGGCCAGAGTTTCGCCTGGTTTTCGGGATGAGAATAAAAACTATTGTCTATATTTTTTGGAGGTTAATTATAAATATACCTATGCATTTATAAAGCTAATGGAATGTATATCGACGTGTAGACATTACTCATTCAGGGTCATTTATTACTAATTGATTTATGATACAGAGATAAACAAACAAGATGACGCTCATTTCGTACTGAGGATAAATACATATATATACATACATATATATATATATATATATATATATATATATATATATATACATATATATATATATATATATATATATACATATATATATATATAGATATACATATATATATATATATATATATATATATATATATATATATATATACATACATACATACACACACACACACACACACACACACACACACACACACACACACACACACATATATATATATATATATATATATATATATATATATATATATGAAAATATATGTATATATATAATATACATATATATATACATATTATACATATATATATATTATATTATATATATGTATAGGTATGTATGCATGTACAAGTATATGTATTTATACACAATGGAGAGCGGGGGTGTATGATTTAGTGAATTTAAGACATTATGGTAATTCCTCATTAGGGTGGAAAATTGAATACCTTCATACGTACATACATATACACACATACATACATATATATATATATATATATATATATATATATATATATATATATATATATATATATATATATATAATATATTGGAAATAACGCCTAACACCTAATAAACAGTATCTGAACTTACCTAGAATATAACACTCATTCTTTGAGTTTTCTTCTATATCCTTTTCTTCGCAAATTCAACAAGGTGTAAAACCCAGTAAACGCTGCAACCTTCCGCTTCCAGCGTGACAGAAAATGACTGAAAGTCGTTGAACGCGACGGAAAATCGGACGGATTCGTAGCGGATGACGTAAGTCCAATGAGCCAATTAGATTAGCAGTGGGACGTGACCTGACCATTGGCACTAACGTCCAGCACAATAGAACCAATCAGATATGAAATAGATCACGTGACAATAGAAGCTGGGCCTAGAATAAGGTAGTTGAGTTCCATCATGGCTAGGCAGTGTGTTAATAACCATTTCGATTTTATTTCAAAATATCATCGAAATATCGACGCCATATTAAACCTTGTATCACCTTTTTGAGCCTCTAAGCAGGAACCGTGAGGCTGAAACCCTCATACCTTGAATAAAGCAGTATATTCTCTCCGGGCATGTCATCGGAAGTGACGGATGGACTGCATACCGAACCATAAGGTTGCCTACACACGGAGCGTTTTTTCGACGCGTGTCATAAAATACGCCGCTAACTACACATGGGGCGTTGTTTTCCGGTTCAGTTGGCAGTGCAGCGACAGCAGTAGAGGAAGAAAGACGAGTGTATTATTTGTCGGAATGGAAATAAGTGAGGAAATTACAGATGTTTTGATTGCATACTACATACTTTTGATTGCAAATCTGAAAACAGGTAAATTAATCAATATAAATAAATACACTGATAATAATACTCACTTCTATATAGTCTCTAAACATGAATTTTTCAGCAATTTGATCTATATTTCACCAAATAAAAATAAAATTAAAATGTTTTCGAACACAAAATAGTCCTATGATAATGAAAACGAGCGAGTCCAAACTCACAACGCGACGCTCCGTCTGTAGGTCTCATAGCAAATGCACACCCGCCACTGCTGAGCAGTGCAAACAACGCCAGACGCTTCAGCGTCACAATGACGGTCGTCTTCTTGACGCCCCGTGTGTAGGACAGCATCTGCTAGCACAGTCACCTAAAACTGACCGTCGTTTTCGACGCGCGTCGAAAAAACGCTCCGTGTGTAGGCAGCCGAAGTGAGCACGGCTATGACCACCAAGTCACAAACCACACCGAATACTTTGTAGATCCGAAAAAAAACAGGATGTTCTCACCCAGAACATACAACAGTTGTGGCGAGATGTAAATGAGTGGAGTAAGAGACCAGGGAATCGGTAAGAATTTTACAAACAGTACCTTACTCGGTATTTGTTTCGCCACCAGTACAAGACGGATACAGTTAATCATCAGTTCTTGACCGAGGCCGCGAAACTATACCCTCCGCTGTCCGATAGGGAACGGCGGATAGCTTTCATGATTCCCGCCAACAACGACTTGCTGGAAGACCAAGTTTTAGGCGTCATCTCCAAATTTACCCACACAAGTATATATCTATATATCTACATTTGTCTTTCCATCTAGCTTTATATAAATATATATATATATAATATATATATATATATATATATATATATATATATATATATATATATATATATATATATATATATTATACTTACATACATACTGTGAACAACACGTAGCAAGACCGGATGGCAGATTCACACCTCGGTCCAAGCAAATGCCTTTCTCCTTGCGCAGGATGCAGGTGCTGCCCTCCTTTCTCTTTTCACACAGGAATAAACATCCGCCCTCCAAGGAAACCGCCGCATAAAAGGGCACGTGCCTAAGACACAAGGGGACAGAAGGAGACACGGCAGACAGGCCAAGCGACACAGGGTCCAGCTCCACCACCTCGTCCTCCACCCGGGGACACGAGGGTCTCTTGGGGGTCTCATATCTATCTTCAGAAATAAACCAGCAAGTTAAGACCCCTTTCATTGACCGCCCCAAGACCATCTCTGTTACGCTTACATCTAGTGGCTTGCGTGGTCACGTACGCTTACATCTGATGGCAGCGGTGGTCACTTACGCTTACATCTGATGGCAGCGGTGGTCACTTACGCTTACATCTGATGGCAGCGGTGATCAAGAACCTCAGAACGCCTTACGTTTACCTCCTCGCCGACGCCGATCCATGCTATCTGCCTACAAGCTACTACTGTCGAAGTGCCTCCTCGCCTACTTTAACGCCCAGCCATCCCTACCAAATCTTCTTTGCACCATGTCTACCCTGCTACTTTGTGCTGACCACTCACGTCTGTGCTACCCTCCTGACGAAGTCGCTGACGGCTCATCTACCTCGCCAAGTCTTTACAAGCCTTCGTCAGCACAACCATGGAGCCGCTATTCTACTCAGCACCACCAATACTTCCTAGCTACTATTAAAAGTAAGTGTGCCTATTAGTGCCAGATTAACTATTGCCCTCCCTATACCCACCCACACCTTACATAGAAGTTGCCTTCTTTCAAGTTCAAGTACATGCCACTCAACGAACACAAACTACTAACTATATAATACATAACTTCTCGCTGTCAACCATTGTTTTTTTCAACACAACAAGCGAAGTCACACACTGAGATCAAACCCAAGTGACACACACCACACCTCACACCTCGTTCCCCTTCCCTAACCGTATTTTAATTGCTATGATAGTTTCTGCTATTGGTATTTTATCTAATGTTTATTATTGTTGTTCTCACATTCCAGTTCATTATATTTTATTTTCTCTTTGAACAAATAAGTATGTGTAGATATGTTCGATTTTCCCCGTTATGTTATTCATATTTACTGCTACGATTTTCGTTGTGATATTATTGTTTTCACCTGCATACTGTACCCTATTAGTAAGTAACTCGTTACTACTTCCTCTATGAATGTGCGTATATCGTTCTGTCTTTCACAACACCTGTATTTACTTATACTTCCCACGCTAATCGTTCGCTTTTTCACACATAGGTTTAAGATACATGTCGATTACCTGCCTTAGGCCCAAACCCACCTACCTGCCCACCCTACACGGATTTCACTCTAGGATTATGAACTTTACTAAGTGCCATCCCTAAGACTTTTAACTGAACCCAAACCGCTTTCATGACGCCCTCTCGAAGTTCGATATCTTATCCTCATCTATGCTAGAATTTATGCTTCTTTAGTTTAAGGAATTGGTGAATATGTAACTTGTATCTGACTGATGGTAGGTAGTCTATTGCAAATGATCATAACGATGATAATGCATTACAGGACACCATACTTCATATAGGCTTACATTATTATTATCACCGCAAGTTAATTTTAAGCCCGGCTCATGGCCGTAACGAAAGAATCCTGCGCCCGCCGCACCGAGATATTACTTATGCTCATACGATTGAAGCGCCCGAAACGCGCACGCCCGGCTCAAGGCCGTAAACGAATGAATCCTGCGCCCGCCGCACCGCGATGTTATTTACTCTCATACGATTGAAGCGCCCAGACGCGCACGCCCGGCTCATGGCCGTAAACGAAGGAATCCTGCGCCCGCCGCACACTTACGCTCATGCGATTGAAGCGCCGAGACGCGCACTGTTAGAATTAAGTTCAGGCCCAGCTGCCTATATGTTCGAAGCATATATACTTGCCTATTTAGCCCAAAGATATGGAATTCTGGTCCAATTACTTTTTCTCTCTTCGGTATGATGGTACTCTACAGAACTCGCTAATCCTAACAAATCCATGTAATTAACACCCACTTACTTGACACATTACCCTTCTCGTAACAAATTATTCCTATTATGCCCTCATTTTTTTCTTGCAACTTAGTAAGGTGATTGACAAACACATTATTACCATCCTCCTTAGCCCTTTTACTGGCCTGGTACACTTATATTTCAGCTTCTGAAGATGATTGACCCTCCTCGCTACTGAATGTTGCACCTCAGTGCGAAACCTCCACCGCACCCGCTACCTTGGCACGCGACGACCCAAGCGACCATCGGATCACCAGGAACCATCTGTAGATACCGAACAGAACCTGTATCCCTATCTGCTACTGCAGTGTTCCAGCGTTGCAGACGGCTCGAGGACGAGCCTTTCGCGCGGCCGAGCGATGTGAACAACACGTAGCAAGACCGGATGGCAGATTCACACCTCGGTCCAAGCAAATGCCTTTCTCCTTGCGCAGGATGCAGGTGCTGCCCTCCTTTCTCTTTTCACACAGGAATAAACATCCGCCCTCCAAGGAAACCGCCGCATAAAAGGGCACGTGCCTAAGACACAAGGGGACAGAAGGAGACACGGCAGACAGGCCAAGCGACACAGGGTCCAGCTCCACCACCTCGTCCTCCACCCGGGGACACGAGGGTCTCTTGGGGGTCTCATATCTATCTTCAGAAATAAACCAGCAAGTTAAGACCCCTTTCATTGACCGCCCCAAGACCATCTCTGTTACGCTTACATCTAGTGGCTTGCGTGGTCACGTACGCTTACATCTGATGGCAGCGGTGGTCACTTACGCTTACACATACACACGCGCGCGCGCACACACACACGCATACATACACATACATATGAATAGATACGCACGCATATAACTATATATATACTTATATATACATACATACATCTACTTATGTATATACTCACACACACACACATATATATGTATATGTATGTGTGTGTGTGTTTGTGCGTGTATGTATGTATACACATACGTTTTTAATCAACCTAGGCTGTGCATTTTTCTACCATTATATCAACACGGTAGAGTGTTTTACAATTCATATATATTTATGTATTCATTATACACAGACATACATATATAGATGCAGATATATACATGTGTGTAAACATATATGTATGTATATATACACACATATATACATATATATATATATATATATATATATATATATATATATATATATATATATACACACACATATATATGTGTGTATGTATGTGCATTTGTACATTTATATTTAAGTAATTTAAGTATTCTCAAACTTAACTTACACGGACGGACGCATACACACAGTTGTTTTTGTTATATAGATAATAAGTGGGTACAAGAAAGGTCCCCATAATCATCGGGTGGCGTTTTGACAGTCTGAGTTAACGATCATATACTTTCTATGAATATAATTCATATAATCATGATTAAATTAGATAACTAACAATTAAGATGATTTCACATTTATAAATCCATTCTTATCTGTTTGGCTTCTTTAAGTAATTTGATAATAAAATATGATCCTTCCAACAATCGAATAATACTTTTTTGCATTTGGAATGGTAAATCAAAGTGAGATTTACCTTCAGCCAACAAACAACAGTTAAGGTCCTTCGTTTCGATAAAACTTCACCTATTAAGGAAATACATATACTAATGGTAGTAATATCTTGAAAACTCCTTGTTGATTGCTTTGAAAATCTCTATTGCAGGGGAATCGCTCAGCTGCTATATATCATTATATATACTGTTCATCTCTATTTCTCTTTTTAAACGTATTTGCGACGGGAAATAGAAGGAACTTTTTATTACAGAGTTTGGAAGACCCGCGCCTGTGTGTAATCAATCACGGAGTCACCGATACGAGATGGAATCCCGTGGAGAAGTAATCACAGTTATATATATACACACACAGAAATAGAGAGAGATAGAGTAGAATACGTATCTCGAAAATCATATATATATATTTTTTCATTATAAAGCAGACCACAGACTCTAACGCAGACTATAGACTCTCCCCATTCACCAAATCGCCAACCTCCAACGAAATCCACCAACAAAGTTTACACAACAAGACGTTAGAATTTACACCGACTGGGCGAGACCTTACGTACTCCAACTCTTCTTTTACTTAATATATACTTGTTTTACTTCTTATTTACTTCACATAAATAATATTATCTCTTCTCGTTACCAAATACGACACAGGAATGAACATGGACAGTGCCGTTTATTGGTCTAGGAGCAGCATAATAGCGCTCCTGGAGAAGGTGAGGGAGTTTCCTTGCATCTGGGACTTCGAAAGCCCAGATTTTAAGAAAAAACTCCTCAAGAGGGATTGCTACCACCGCATATGTGATTCCTTGAGAGCGGAGTTTGTCGAGATGAAGGACCTCACTGCAGGTACTCATGGAGATTTTGCTGGTTGTGATTTATTGTTATTGTGATTCATTTTGGAGTTGTAGAGAATAGCTAGTTGTACTAGTTGTGAATTTGATTTTGTTGAAAAAATATATACTTTTATTATTTTGGTTTATTTTGTAGTAGGAATAGATCAGCTTTGATAGGCTGTAGAGATGTTCCAGGTAATATTTATGGATTCCTCACACTCTCAGTTATTCCAATATATCAAAATTATGCCACAGTAACCCCCATTATTGACAATATTGGCCACCACCCCCAAACTCCTGCAATGGAAGGCAAAGAATCCACCATGTATTCATGGCAGGGTAGAGCATGCGACTGATGCATGGGAGCATCTAATGTAGAGTCTGTGCAATTCTCTCTTCTATCATGAATAAATAGAGGATTCTTCCTGGGCAGGGGTTGGGGGGGGGCAGCAGTCCCCAAGGAGGAGGGGTAGGAGGCTGTCCTCCTGCATTAGGCAATATAAGGACAAAATATGTGGGGGTTTGGGGGATTCTACAGCACAATTCATACATATGTGTACTAGAGAGTGAGAGGAATTCATTAATACCATAATTATCGTGACCGGTTATGTGAAGGTGTTCCAGAAAATTACCAGAGAATATTAAGATCTAAGGATCAATTTGTGTATAACAGGCCAAAAAAACAACTGGCGAAATCTTTAGAATAAGGACACACTTGCAAGAGACCAAGTACCCAACTATAGGTCACAAAATCTATTAAACAATCTAAGTTGCCATGACTTGGCTCTCCTGACTGCCAGAGGGGAGGGTTGATGGGGTCTGTCCCCCAACATCCCCAGGGAAACATTGTCTTCACCTCGGTATACACAGCAAGATAGAGCTGTTACTTGGGAGCTCTGTGTGGGCTTGGGCTGTGAGCGACACTTTCTGCATTGTTTTTCCTATATTTGTAGAGTTACTATTTCCTCTATAAGAATACCATCTTCAAGTTGCCCCAGTTTATTGCAGTCATACCTGAAAGATTTACCACCAACTTTATGATAACTCGTTAACCAGCCTGGTAAATTATTTTTTAAGTGAAGAGCCAATCCAAACTGTTTCTAATTGCCCTGTTCCTTTATGTTATTGTATTTTTTATAAGGAGGGTTTAGTTTTTGAATTGAAAACTGCAATGATTCAAGCGATCTGGATGGTCTCGGCACTTTTGTTGCACTGGCAGTAAGAGCAATTCCATCATATATTTTGGTGAATCTTTTCAGTTTTAATACTGTATTCCTATTGTTTTTTTTTTTATGAATTTTGAACATTTCTGACCATTATATATGTTAGGAAATAGCACATTACAGAGATAGCCTATAGTAGGCCTTTTTCAAAATAATATTTTTAGTTATTGTTGGATTCCAAGTTTTGGGTGTTGTTTGCTGTTGGAATCAAGTTTATCATATTTGTATCCCTTGATTGCCTAGCTCCACCAAACTTAACTAAACTTTATCCTACCTTACCTTATCCAACATTGATCTCGCCTTTGCCTTTTCCTTTGCTTTTGCCTTTGATTTGCCTTTGCCTTTGTGGATACTGCCCAGCCTGAAGTGCACCCCCCCTAGCTTATCCTTGCAGTGAAACAAGAGAGAGTGCCTCTCCCCCAGTGTGAATTGCAAATAAGTTGATTAAAATTGGTGTTCATATTGGTAAGTAATCATTTGTAATGGATAATATTTTTTTCAAAATACCATTTTTTAAGTTTTCTCTGTGTTTTATATATGATCATTGTCTCCTTTTCAAGATTATCTATGAAGATTGGGACTGTGTCTGGTGATGCCAATGCTCATGCACTTAAGGAAGAACAACAAATCTATACCACTATTATTCTAGCAGATTGTACCCTGTGGAGGAATACTGACTGTGTGGGAGAGCACATATATATAACACTGAACAAACCTTTATACTTTTTAGCAATTTTTTGGTAGCCATTAGGAATGAAAGCAAATCTTGATTGTAAAATAGAAATCCTCACATATTCCAGATCATGCAAAGAATAAATTCAATCATTTGAGGACATATCACCAAAGAGAACTCAAGAAGATTGAAAATATGCCTAGTGGATCCGGGGGCCAGCAGAGTTCCAAATGGGAATACTTCAACCACTGCTCTTACATGCAGCCTGGGGGGTGTCTGTACAGAGAGAAGAGTAACGGGAAACACCCTCCGAGAGAAACAGAAGTTAGATTTTTCTTTTTAGTCTTGTGTTGACTTTATAATTTTAGGATTTACTTTTCAATTCAAGAATACCACATCTTTTCTGAATTGTTGCTTGTTGCATAAATTATTTCCTATCATTGTTTTACTATTAACTACTGTCAAGATTGGGTAATGTGTTCAGATAATTAAGGCTTTGATTTTAGTATCTTATCAGAGATGTAGATTGATATAATCATTACAGGGAACACAGCCAGACCAGGTGGAGGAAAATGCAAGTAAAAAGAGGAAACTCCATCACAGTGAGTTCAGTACAGCTGACACATTGCATCAGGACCATCTACCAGGGAATGAGCAGTTCATGGAAAACAGACCTGAGGCTGCAACCAGACCTATCTTGCCTTGGTAATTGTGTTTAGCAATATGTGTGTGTGTGTGTGTGTGTGTGTGTGTGTGTGTGTGTGTGTGTGTGTGTGTGTGTGTGTGTGTGTGTGTGTGTGTGTGTGTGTGTGTATGTGTATGTGTATGTGTATATGTGTGTGTGTATGTGTGTGTATTTGTGTGTGTGTGTGTACATATATACATATACATATACATATACATATACATATACATATACATATACATATACATATACATATACATATATATATATATATATATATATATATATATATATATATATATATATATATATATATATATATATACATATATATATAAATATATATACATATACATATACATATACATATGCATATACACATTTACATATACATATACATATATATACACACATACATATATGTTCCAGTCTGGAAAATATAAAATAGGAAAATGCCAAAAATCTTTATCTGTTTTTAGTATGGTTTTCATGAATGAATTATTTTTAGTGAGAAAAATGTGAGCTTCTATTCTTTAAAAAATGACCTTTACTTTCCAGCCAGACATCACATAATAACCAGACAACATTTACAACATTCAGACCAAGAATTGAGGAAAACCAAACAGCAGATAGATGTAAGTAGAGGTTTACTCATTCTGTTTTCTGTCTTTCCTTGTCCTCTTCTCAAAATTGCAATACATGCAATTGTTCAATCATTAGCTTCTATTTCAATTCATTGGAGCCATACTTATGCACTGTTAATGTAGCTCTGAGTGATGAATTTTGTTACACATAGATGTTTCTTCTTTTCAACAAGGAATCAGCTTCCTAACCTCAGCTACCTACTTCACCCCTTGAATTTTCAGAAAAATAGTTTATTTTTATGTTATCAACATCATTATTATTTATTATTAGATGCAAAGTCTCTGTTCATTTCCTATTTCTTTTTAGATTCGCATCAGACCCTAATCTTAAAGGGTTTGCTGGAGGACGCATCTTTTGCTGATGTGACGCTGACAGCTGAGGGACAGTCGTTGAAGGCACACAAGGTGAGGTTATGACAAATCAAGTATAAAAACAGGGAGAGGATGAAAACCATAAGCCATAATCAGGACAGATAGATGTATTTTTGAGAAATATTTATATGATGTGTTGCTATTGTGAGATTGCTATTTCAGGAGTTGTCTCTGATGTTACTTACTATCACTTGTATCCCCTGAAGGCAGTGTTGTCAGCCATGAGTCCCTACTTCAAAAGTGTGTTGCAGAACAACCCAAGTCCTCACCCCATCATCATCATGCCTCTGGACATGCAATTCGAGGATCTCAAAGGAATTATAGACTATATTTATGTGTAAGTTAATTTCCATTTAGTATGACACTGAGTGCAAATGTTTTATGATACAGAAATAAAAAAAATGTGAAAATAGACTTGCATATATAAAGGCTCTCGCACACACAAACTCACATATACAAACTTACTCATACATGTTTACACATAAATGCACTCTTTCCCTCACACCCTCACACCCTCGCACACACACAC